CTACTAGAAAACAGTTAATGAGATTTTTGGGAATGGCAGGTTATTATAGAAAATTTTGCAAAAATTTCTCAGTTATTGCTTCTCCTTTAAGTAATATGTTAAAGAAAAATGCAAAATTTCATTGGTCAGATGCTTGTCAGGAAGCATTCGAAAACATTAAAAATATACTTGCTAATGCTCCTGTTCTCATTGCACCAGACTTTAACAAACAGTTTAAATTAGCTGTAGATGCCAGTGATGTTGGCATTGGTGCAGTTCTTTTTCAAGAAGATGACCACAATGTAGATCATCCTGTCTCTTATTTCTCAAAGAAATTCAACTCACATCAGAAAAACTATTCCACTGTAGAAAAGGAATGTTTAGGTTTAATTCTTGCTCTCCAACAATTTGATTTTTATGTCAGTTGTTCTTTACATTCAGTACTTGTTTTTACTGATCACAATCCTTTAACATTTTTGAATAAGATGGTCTCCAAAAATCAAAGATTGTTAAGATGGAGCCTATTTTTACAAGAATATAATTTGGACATCAAACATATTAAAGGCAAAGACAATGTCATTGCAGATACTTTGTCCAGAAATTAATTTTCACTTATGTTATTGTTTATAAGCTGTTAAGAAGCTTTTTGTCTTATATTTTGAGAGTAAGAAATGTACTTTCTTCAATTTTAATGGAAAAAGAATTCCATTTTTGAACAATGAAATTTTTTTCTTTTAAGAGGGGAGGTGTTATAGAGAGCTTGTTTTTCTCGTGCGTGCCCTCTGATTGACCCCGCATGAGACGCTGTGTTCACAAAGGGGTGTGGCTTAGGCCTTTGAAGTAACTTGTTGACGCCGCCAACGAATAAAAATAATTAATCTGTTCCAAATAGTATTTGGTAGAATGATTGGGATTTTTCTCGAAATGTCTCGAAGGCAGGGCTTGGGCGTCGGTAGACCCACCTATATAAGGGATTGACAGGCACGGACGAGGGACGGAGTTTTCAGATAGATTTTCTTAACATTACGAGGCGTGTTTTATTCTTTGTGTATTTGTGTGCTCCTACTTATATGTGTTTATTTCGCATTATTTATTGGCATCATTATTTCTAATTGTATTAACTGTGTACCGGTACGACATCTGCCATACTGTAAGTTGAAGATTGTAATTTTATTTTATTTTATTTTGTAATTATCTTAAGACATAATAAATCTTAATTAATTGTAACTAGTAACTGTTTTGGGTCGTATCTTTAATATTGTTGATTATATGGTATCGTCCTTTGTTAGGCACTGTTTACAACGAGCCAATTAAAATTAAAATAGGAGATTACTTTCTCCCAATACAAGTCAGTGCGTAACACCAAGTCATGATCGGTCAGAAAACATAACGTACTACTGCGCGCCTCTATTTTAATTCGGTAAAAACATAACATCCACGTAAGCAGCGTCTGATCTTATTATCAATTATTATTATACTAGCAGATATACCCTGCATTTGCCAGGATAGTATTCAGAACGAAGGACCTTCTATAGTCTATAGCCTTATAATTATTCCGGCCCCCGTGGCTCCCAATCCCGTAGGTATCCCACTGCCGTTACTATACCTCTTCCCAGTTGGATTCCGATCCCTCTGGAGCCCAATTCCTGTATGATCCAATTCCTGTTGGTTTTCTGATCCCGATATCTCTAAGTAATTAATTTTTGAACTCGAAAAATTATAAAACTAAATGCACTTCTATAGCTATAATACATTTAAGCTAAAAGAGGGGGCCCAGTGGGGGCCAATTCCATAATTTTACCAAATCAGTTTTGACTGAGATGGGGAACCACATGAAAATCATTCAGATAAATTATGGATTTAAAATTTGTCTGATTAAAATCGGTTAAAAAATGCCTTCCCCTTAGATATAGCTTTTTAAAGTTATTGAACTTTCTGGAAGATTCTAGATTGGATATTCTTAGTTTTAAATCCACCGATATTTCAATAGGGACAATGAAGTGTATTGCTACCACGCTAGGTCTATATCCATCTATTCACATATAAATTATAGTGTTGTCTAAGCCTATTGACATTTATATAACTTAAATAAGGAAAAATGAAATGGTGCCCCCCGCCCCAGAGGGATGCATATTATGAGTTCAGTATCCTTCGGTATTTTAATATGGATAATCGTGTGTATATGTTCTAAGTTTGGTCAAGATCCATCCATTCACGTAGGAGTATTTTTTAGTAATTTTATTTATATAGCGCATATAGGAAAAACGAAGTGTCTACACGTCCAGCGCGCCGGACACATAGTGCGGGAGATATACGCCCGGCGGGCATGTCAAGTGACTGCCGGACGTCTAGTAGGCGTTATTATTGTGGCATAGTTATTATTGACAAGTGGTCGCCGGCAAAAAAGTTGCATTGCATTTGATATTCCGATCCCTAGATAATAAATAAATGCTGAGCATGTTAATATATTCAAATGCTCTGAGATAAATAAAGTGTTTGACTTTGAATATTTAACTAGTCTGTCTATATAATAAATAGTATTACTAGTACTTGTAAAGCTCTATCTTGAAGCCTAAATTTAAAATATGAACCAAATAAAATAAGACCAGTAGACTTCAATAGACCTATGTCAATAAAGGTGTATTTCAGGATTCGTATTTAGTATTGCATGAGAAGTAGGCTAGGCTACCACTATATCGGCCCTATATTAAGATGAAGGGTGCATTTCTTTGTGAACTATCGGTCTCCCCGCCTTAAACGTAATCATTTATAATCCTCACTATGTCATGTAACAATAATTTTTTTAACCAATCATATTTTTTATTATTACTGTTATTCTCTCTCCCTCTTAGCATTGCTTCCTTTTAGAATGCATTATTGCTTTAACCCCCCCACTTTGTTTTGGTAATATACTCATACCCAAGTATTTTTTCTATTACTTGTTTGCATGATACTCAGTAAATTACTAGGTAGAGAAATAGATTTTAAAATGATTTGCGGTCATGTGACAAGGCTGACGGGCAAATATTTCGCGCAACTTTGTTACGGCTGTCATGTGACTTGGTCGCCGGACGAATATCTCGATAAAGTATTCTTCCGGCGGTCATGTGACTTGGTTGCCGGACAAATAGTTCGGGATATATACATACGGCGCGCCGGACGTGTAGACACTGCCTAGGAAAAAACAACCTTTTCAGCCCCAGGCCCCAAACGGAATTTTTTAAAAAGTTCATAACTCCTTAAGAGTTCCTTCTGGATAATGATGGATATATGTGCCAAGATCCATCAATCCACGTAATACTAGATACTTGAAGCTGCCCACTGTCTCTAATCTTTCCTCCCTGACCTTAATTTCAGTGGCTATGGTGGTGGTGCTATTCGTCATCAATTTTGTCTTTTCTGCACTGATTTGCATGCCAAAGGATGATGAAGTCTTGTCGAGAGGCTTTACTAGGTTGGCAAGCTTTCTTCACTTCCAGCCGGTCCATCTATGTCATCCGCAAATCGTAGGTTGGTGATTGTTCTGCCACCAATGCTGACTGTCCCTACATGCGTTTCCAGTGCATCTGACATAATTCTCTCTAATAAGATGTTGAACAGGGTGGGGGAGAGCAAGCAGCCTTGTCGTACTCCAACCGTTGTCTTGAACCATTCTCTGGTGTTATTGTTGAAGAAGACTGAACTGGTGGCCCTATCATAGAGGCTGCATATCATTCTGGTTATGTTTGTGTTGATTTTGTAGTGCCTCATGGTGGCCCATAAAGCAGCATACCATACCCTGTGGAATCCCTTCTTGAAATCCACAAAGACGTGACGTAGTATAGTATAGGTTTTTCTGGTGGTGAGCATATTTCTCACATATAGGCCTACTAGTATTATAATATTTTTAATTCAAAGTCAAAAGCTTATGATACACTTTATGTATTTCTGAGCATTTGAAAATATTAACATATTCAATATTTATTAATTATCTAGGGATCGGCTGACTAATAATAATATAAATGCACAATATTGGAATATCATATACTATGCAATGCAAATATTTTGCAGACGAAATCTTGTCACATGACGTGTCTGCCGGGATAATAACACCTACAAGTCGTCCGGCGGGCATGTCACATGCCCGCCAGAAGAATATCTCCCGCACTATTTGTCCGGTCACCGGACATGTAGACACTGCCTTAAATTTAAATAAAATAGGCTTATGCCTATTAAAGCTGAACTAATTAAGTTCATGCTCCATAAGTTAATTATTAGACGGGGGTCTAATGAAAATCAATTATCGGCATTGTACTAATGCCTGAAGCCTGAAACTGAAGACAATTTATTCTTATTCTTGTCTACCAGTAGTTAAATACTAGCCACTCAGTCTCAGGAGATATTATTATTTAGTCACTAATTAAGAAGTTATTTTTATTTTAGGGTGAGGCAGTGGCTACATGAACTATTTTATTTCCCTTTTAATAAAGAAAAAGTTAAAAGCAAAAGGTCGTTAATGTAAGTTTACAGTTCAATGTACTGTGCTTTTAGTGTAGTGTATATGCAAATAATAACAAATCTTTCATTGACATGGTATTTTATCTTGGTATTAAAATTATACAAAGTAGTAGACCTAAATATTAAAATCTTTGTAGACCTTATTTGCTTTATTTTTTTTATCTGCATTTTCACATCTAACTTATATCACACTTTCACTTTAATCTTAAAACTGCACTCAATACTGACACTGACACTCAAACTCAATGTAAATTAAAATTACAATTACAGCAGTCCAGGTCTGTTGTTTTTTATCCTACCTTCCGTAGATACCATCTGTTATTTTACTCCTTTTCAGCGGACGCCGAATCTTTCCGCAGTCAACATTCCGCGGTCTCTTCATAGTCTTACCACACAATAGTCATTAAATTTGTTTTTAGGATTATTTCCTACAAATCTTATCTTTCTCGATCCTTGTCGGACACCACTTTCCTGTTCCTAATTTATTATAACAATCCTGGAAGTACTTCTCGACCCAATGTCCTTGCACATGCGCTATCGGTGACTTGCCGAGTCGAAATTGCATTTTGGGAGTTATCAACAAACATGGCGCTACACGTACCACGAGCCCCGGGCTTCGCCCAAATGATGAAGGAAGGTGCAAAGGTAATAATGGAAAGAACTTTTAAAATATTACTTTAAGTTTGTGTGATTGAAACAGATAAATTTACATAGATTTACACATCATCGGGGTTTATTTAAAAATATATCCGTGAAGTACCGGCTTTTATAGCATAGAAAAAAGCATGATCAAACCAGCAGTGTCGTTCCTCTACTACGCTTTACTTTCTATATAGTAGTGTAAATGAGTGGGATAGTATCGAGAATGTTCTTTTCGTTTCCCTTTTCATGATTGTATTAACTTAAGTAAAGATAGCTTAATTTCAGTTTCACCCTCGTTTTACGAGAAGGCCAACAAGGTTTTCTTTTAGTCTTAATTCTTAAGGAATAATCAATTGTCAACTATGTATAATATTAATTATAATATTAATTTTATTAATATCCCCTGCCACTACCAAAGCCTACAAAATAGATACTTTGGTTAGGCACTTGGATACAAAATTTAAAAAAATTGAAATAATTTTTTTAATAACACAGTTGGTTAGAGCAAATTTCAAATAAAAACATGAAACCAGAATCAACTTTTTAGTTTAAGTACTTTTTGATCTACGAATTTTTAAAGTGTGAGTTCGTTTGGTATTTTTTACTATGGACGAAACCTCCACATCTTGGTGACCTCATTCCCCTGATCAAGTCATGCGCAATGACTATATACTTTATATAAGGCAAGGCATCGCCTTATCACTAAAATACTGTTTAGGGTCCACTTAGTTTAAACTTTCAACTTTGGCACATGAATAATTAATTAAAGCTTTCCCAGACCAATATGTATAGTTAGGGATAACAATACTTGTTCACGCACCGTTCTGCGCATGTCCTAAAATGTCGAAAAAATGTGTTCTACAATATGGCGTACGGCTACACGGTATCTTTGGAAAATTGCATACTACGTAGCCTTTGTTTATTAAATAATGCTTTCCTCATCAGTGACGTATCAGTTTTTGTGTTCCGGTGATATATTGATTTATGCTACAAGATTTTTTGTGTATCACGGACAGTATTATTATAATGACTCGGTTAGTTTATAAATCGCATAAATACTTTTTTACTAGTAAAGCCACCAAAATAAGGTTTAGTTCCACCCAATCTACATTCATTGTAAGAGTTTTTTCATTTTTAGAGTTATTATCGTTGATCTGTCTATAAAAAGTTATGCATCCCACGAAGGAGTGGGGGTATGAAATTGTCTTTTTTTTTTTTTTTTGATCAAGAAGCCGGAAATGGCTGCTATCACTGTGATTCGTTAATGTTAAATCCTTTAAACAGCTAAATAATGATAAGACGTTTAAAATGAATAATTTTAAGAAAAGATTATAACCAAAGTTTAATTATGTAGTAACCAAGGGTTGGTTTTAAGTTTTATTTATTACGTTAAAAATTGTGTACGGTACCGGTAGACAGTTTATCGTTCTTCATAATTATTGAATCAATATTTAAATTTAATAGTGTTACAATAGTAATGTCAATAATAATAATCGTTTTTCTCTTAATAATTATTTCAGAGAATATTACTAAAATTAGGCCGATATATCAGTTATAATTATAAACAACTGTTATTATAATCCTATAATAGTCTATTTAGGCCTAAGCTTAATTTTTCATAATCATAATTCTATTACTAGTACTACTAGTACTACGACAATCAACAACCACACTTACTAATAATATATTTTTTAGTTAAGCCTATATATAACAGTTTTATTAAAATACATCAAATTAATAAACAAGAATCAAACAACATCATCGTTGTAATTATATTTTTATTAGAACATAGAAAAGCAGTACATAGACAATTATTTAATATATCAAATAACATTTTTTAATAAATTAGTCTCATCATCATAGATGATTTTGAGTAATTTTTATTTATAATTACATGCGTTCCAATTTATATATATAAAAAAGACTACTTACCTTTTTATAAATATAATTGATTTAAAATGTAAAACAAGCATAATAAAATTAGTTAAAATTCAATAAACATGTTATTTTTTCGTTTTTTCCTGTATAAATGATGATTTTCCCAATTTTTCTCTTCACTTTTTTCTGAACATACCCTCAAATAAATATTTAAAAAAATAAAAGTCTTGATGTTATGTAAAAGTTTTGTTGTTTATTGGGTTGTATATTGCATTGAGAATCTCTCCTGAAAATTTGGTAGCATTATCTTTTAAAATCCAAAAGTTTTGGGCAAAATAAGGCAGAAATTTGGAAAGTGGGTCACACGTTTTTTCATTTAAATACTAAGATAAAGAAGGGGGTTTTAAAAAATCACCAAAAAAATCATAACTCCACTTCTATAAAAGATAGAAAGATGAAATTGGTGTTGTTGTAAAGCTTATAGCCAGTCCTTTAAAATGATGTATCATTCATAGCAATAGGACTATATTTAAAATTTGTGTCAAAGTACCTAGTATAGTAGTTTTTGCACACGGCAAACTCTTATGAATGAAACTCTGAGGTAGTACTACGATACAGCCATTATGCAAGTGGCTGTGAATGGTTGCCAATGACAACGTGTTGCACACAGTAAATTCTGATCATTTATCATATGGATTCTACCGGGTTGTTACAGTTCAAATTAAAACATTCCTGTTTAAATGTCTTCAAAATGCATTCTGAAACACAAGTTATCAAATATTTTGATGTTAATAGTGTTATAAATTAATATTTCCTAAGTAGCTGCAACTTCCGCCATTAAAAAGGGGGTGTGGCCCACCCCATGGCGAAATTAGGTTGAGCGAACTGCATGACCTGCTGCGAACGCGTAGAAACATAGCGTCTCTCGTAAGACACTTATCGCTGTGAAAATTGGCATACATGTAGATCAATACATTCCCCAGATGCAAAAAAAATTTGGTAGTGACAAATTTTTTCCTTTGACTTAATTTTAATGATGAAAGTTACCTTATATTTACCAAGGATTTTCTCAAAGCTGACTGATTGTAAATGAAAAAGAAATTGATTACAATGTAGGCCAAGATGTCTACCTAATTATGAGGCCGAAAACGGAACTCAAATATGTATCGAAAGTACTAATTTAATAATAAATAGACACACACATCAGAAAATTAAAAACTCAGATTTTTCTATTTCTGATACACAAAAAGTAGTAGTCTCCTTTTTTTCATCGAAGTATCTAAGCAAGGCCCTAGCAGAAAACTGGTTTACCCCAGTACCTAGCAAGGGATTTCGAAGGTCTCATGCGCACCCAGTTTGCGCATAACAAAAAATCACTCAAAACTTGTGCGGCCATTTTAACACCTAGATCATGAGTGATCCTGTTTTTTTGCATTTTATGTCACAGTTTTCAAATAATAAACTAATTTGTCATCAGTGACATAGAGTGCATATTTTCCAAACACGGTGATACAATTTTTGTAGCATGGAATATTTTGTAAGTGGCAATATATTTATCCTAGTGCCGGCATGTACTTAAATAGCTTATTACTTTTTATGTCATGTGTAATTGTACCACATTGAATTTTATCGCACCGCTGCTTGATAAAGTCACGAAGAGGAATGACTTTATTTTGTTAAAAATGGCCATGCATCTTAAAAGTTATACATTTTTCATCGTACCCGGGTAACTAAAATTATTAATTATCACCAGTTATCTCCCCTCTCAAAAAAAATGGTTTGTGGGAAATGGCTCTTCTCATCAATTTAGTTTAAAAAATATTAAAATATTTTCATTATGTTCATCTTTAAAAATCCACTAAGCATTTAGTTTTTTTAGTCTGTTGAATTTCTGACAAGTTTTGTCCCTTGATATACATCTATCTATACAACTATCTATATGGTATAATAGTGAGTATAGCATCAACTTGACTTACGTTAAAAGTTGTGTGAGTTTATTCAGTTAATGTTTAAACATTTTAACTGTTCTTCTTTATTGACGCAATAGGAATAATGATATTACTATCCACTCACTAGTGACATTAAAGAGTATATTTACTACATTATACTTAGGTACTCCGCCGAAGCAAATGACACTCCTAGTAAATTTGTATCGGAAATGGGCATCTGCGCAATAGAATCTGAGTATTTAATCCGGCACATGACTAATTAAATAAAGCTATCCCTGAAAAAATAGTTCTAATAGTTTTTGCACTCTTTTTATGAATGAAACTCTGAGATAGTACTACGGTATAGCCATTATGCAAGTGGGTGTGAATGGTTGCCCAAGATGTTTTGTACACGGAAAATTCTGATAATTAATAATATGGACTCTACCAGGTTTTTAAAGCTCAAATTAAAACATTCCAGTTTCAATTCCTTCAAAATGCATTCTGAAACACAAGTTATCAAATATGTACAGAGTGGTAATAATTGAATATTTCCTAATTTAAGTATCGTTTGCCGCCATTTGAAAGGGGGGCGTGATCACTAATCCAAAATGGCCTGTGCGACCTTTGCATAATGAGATCTACGCTGAGGTGAATTGTGAAAATGTTTTATGAGCTAGCGTATATTTTTCACACGTATACTTCCAATACATTATGCGGACCTGCAATTAGTTTGAAAGACATGCTTTTAATATTTCTACAAAAATTTTTATGTTGAATGATTCCTTTTATTGACGTACAATTTTTCTCACTTAAAGTTGATACAAAGAACAAAAAAACTCAATGGGAATGTAGGTCAACATTTCTCCTAACATGATTGGGGCGGAGTCAGACCTTAATTATGGGGCAAAAGGACTCCTGTATCATTAAAATTTCGTTGTCAAATTGGGGACATCCACTTTTTTATTTACCAAGGGTGTTGTTGTTGTTTTGCCTTTTTATAGCCGATTTTTTTAATCATAATAAATTCTACATCCACCAATTAATTAAGTGAAAAATAAGTAAAGGTAAAATTCACTGATCAATAACTTTTTTTTTTTGTTAAACAGCGCTTATTTATAAAAAGAAAAAAGGGCTGATCAAATTAATAATGTCATTTTAACACATCTAAAATTCATGAGTTAGGCCCTAGACTGGCGTCAAATACAAAATACCAAGAGGTCACTTTTGTTATTGTTAGGTTATGTAATTTGTAAACATGGCCACCATGCTTGTCTGCATATTACCCATTCTCGATAGATGCCATGGGGTAGTTCATAATTCATTGGATTAGTTACCCAGAATATAAATGGGAAATGTAACTAACAATAAATAATTTTAAAGAAATAAAAACGTTTTATAACATAAATAATTATTATAGGCTTATCATTGATTTTAATTTTGCGGTTGGTTGTAATGTACTTTAGGATTGATAACCAATTGTCTTTTAGATAGGCCTAGTAAAAGCATTATAAGCGTAAGAATACTATTGCAGACCTGTAACATACAATTGTATACACTCCAAAATCGTAAGAGAAAACATGTCTGCTATTGTAAATTATTTTTGGAGTGGGATAAATTTATTAAAGTTAATATACTTATACTGGTTATATATATATATATATTTATATATGAAAATATGTAATGTATATGTGTGTGTATATATATGGCCTAGTATAGCATAATAATATTGTTTAGACCTAGCCCCAACCAAACTTATTTGTAGGACCCATGCCTATTATGATAAATCATATGTAATGAAATTATTTTTTGGACTATGTAATCTTATTTTAATGAATATTATAATTTTTTGTCTTCAGGCATAAATTAAATAAAAAATGTAAAAAAATATGCATTTACCTTTGATGTTGAAATATCCTATATTTAATAACATATCACACTATTCCACAAGAGAACTGTTATATATTCCTCAGTATTCTCAAAGAAGAAACATACTTTCTGGCTCAATAATCCTAGAATTACTTAAGACGTTACGAAAGAACAATCATAAAAACTAGTACTTACCTCTAGCTAATGACTAGAACTTATTTTAATTTATATTAACTGCCAAACTTGATTCTAACAATACATGTTGATTTGTAAAACAAGATTACTATCTTACAATAAATGTTCATACTAAGGGCTACATAAACATAAACTTACACCATACTGATGGCTCTTAATTGATTAATATAATAGTCGCCTCTGAAAAAATTCTACCTTCTTACCTAGGCTCAGCAGTCACATATGTAGCATAGTATGTAGCCTAGGCCTAATTTTAGTAATAATACTCTCGCATGAGTAATGTCACTAATAGTAATAATAATAAGGGCTTAAGCAGGGTTGTTTTTTTTACACTGGGTCCGGGTATTATGAGAAAATGCTTAGTGGGTCAAGATGTTACGATAAAAGTTAACTTCTCATATTCTGTAATTATGGCTGCCTTTAAACAGTATACCTATATACAGTTCTACACCCTGCCTGCCGACCTTTAACAATAAATCTACAGACATACCTACACCCTACCTGCTGGTCTTACTTATAGGATGCTAGTGATAAGTTTAGTGGGCTTTAGCATGAAAAAGTTTAAGAGCCTCTGCTATAGACATCTTGACATAATGTGTAGATTTGTTACATGTCTACAAAGACTGTTTGTTTGTTTTGTGGGGGGTTTTTTTTTTTTGTGGGTTTTTTTTTTTTTTTGTTTTTTAAATTTTAATTTGTTTTTAAATTTTTTTTACAATGAATTTAATGAATTAATAAAATAAGATTTTTTTAATTTTTAGCATTTTTTTTTTTTTTTTTTTTGTGTGTTTTTTTTTTTTTTGTGGGTTTTTTTTTTTTGTTGTTATTTAAATATTAATGTGTTTTGAAATATTTTTGACAATGAATTTAATGAACTAATAAAATAAGTCTTTTTCAATTTTCAGCATTTTAGTGGTCTTGAAGAAGCCGTGTATAGAAATATAGATGCTTGTAAAGAATTGGCAAAAACAACTATTTCTGCTTATGGTCCTCATGGTAAGTTTATTTTAAACAACTGATAATTATCATTATACCTTGTCTAACAATAATTACAATTTTTAACTTATCAAAAATAGTCTAGCAATTTTGAGGAAAAGTATTATCATTATTACTTTTTTTTCAGGCCAAAATAAGATGGTTATCAACCATTTGGAAAAGTTGTTTGTTACTAATGATGCAGCAACTATTCTGCGTGAGCTTGAGGTGGAACATCCTGCAGCCAAAATTCTTGTAATGGCTTCCCAACAGCAAGAACAAGAATGTGGAGATGGTACCAATTTTGTCTTAGGCTTTGCTGGAGCCTTACTAGAAAATGCTGAGGAGTTGTTAAGAATGGTAATGTAATTAAGAAAAGACATCCCAATTAACCTTAAAGAAAATTTAGGATGCCTTGATACAGTGGTACCTCGATATGCGGGTGCCCTAACATACAAGATTTTTGAGAGACAAGTGGTCAAGCGAGTGATGTTTTGCTTTGCCATATTAGAAAATTTGAGATTCAAGCAACTGGGTCAGCGGGTCGGCCGGCTGCACACAACACACCACGAGAGGTGTGTTTTTTTTATTTAATCGGCCTGCAGGTGAAAGTGAAGAAAGCGTGACGAAAAAGGCAAAGACCAGTGAAAAGAAAAGCCGTGACAAAAATTAAGCGAAAATAAAAAAAAAATTGTACAGTACCGGTAGCGTTTAAGTTCACTGACGTTAAGTTCCATTAAGTTTAGGGATAAAGTGTAACAATAAGAGTGTAATGAGTAAGTGAATTAAAGTGACCGAAAGAGTTTAGCATTAACAGTATGGCGAGTAAGTGAACGAAGTGAAGCTCCTCCGCCTATCTCCTCCACCCTAAATCTCCGCCAGCATCTTCTGTAAGCTCAAGTTCGCTGATTTCCAAAGTAAATACACTTTATAAAACCAGTTTATTTCTTTACATTCTCTTTTATATTTTTATACAATATTTATCATTTATAAATATATTTTTCTTATTCAAAAACACGTAACAAAAACAACTAGGGTGACATTTGGGAGCTGGAACAGATTAATGGCATTTCAATTTATTTCAATGGGGAAAATTGCATGTGAGATACAAGCAAATTGACTTACGAGCAAGGTTACGGAACGAATTAAATTTGTATCTCGAGGTACCATTGTATTTCTGTTTTGCAAAAAAATATTTTTTCACTTAATATTTATTACCAAAATATGTGCATTTTCATAAATACTATTATTATTTGCTTTAACTCATTGGTTTACTTCTGCATTTCAAATCCATGCAATTTTTAAAATAATGAATGTTAAATAATAATATTAATAAACAAGCTCATATCAGCCCTTACCGAATTTCAAAAACACTGCAGAGTTGTAGGCTTTGTTGTTTACAAGTTTTAATTTTAAAAGTTAAAACAAATGACTTTAGATACTTATAATAATAATAAATTTTTTTTTTTAAAGGGTCTCTCTGTTGCCGAAGTTACTGAAGGCTATGAGATGGCTTTGAAAAAAGCGTTGGATGTTTTACCAGGTGATTTTCGTTATGGTTTTAAAATTATTACTTTTTTATGCATCATCCATTACCCTTCAAACTTTTTCCTATGACTGGAAAAATTATTTCTGTTGCTTTGCTCAAGTAAGAAATAAATGATTTTTGTCCATACCTTATTTTAGGCTTGTCATTGGGCACAGTAAAAAATATGAGAAACAAGGAAGAAGTATTGCCAGCCATTCGAACTGCTATCATGAGTAAACAGTATGGAAATGAGGATTTCCTTGCTGATCTCATAACTAATGCTTGCAGTAAGTGTTATCATTTATCAACTTTTAGATGGTAATATATGTTGATTTCATTTTATTTATTAATTTTTTTAGTGGATAGTTACAGATTATATTTTTACAGACCTGTCTACTCTTACAATTTTGAGGTGGGTTTTTTTTTTACGATTGTACGCCAAGACCCGTAAGAACTACAATTTTAGGAGACCAAGTTGAAAATATATACGTTCCTGTAGTTTTAAATCCGATTTTAAAAATAGTAATTTTTATATAATACATTTTCGGTTGTTAGTTTTAACTTGCATTTACATTCTACACCCAGAAGTGAATGGATCGACAGATACGATTGGTTGGGGACCATCTATTATATAATAAATTGATTTACTCTGAGAGGGGAATGGAATGGTGAGGATTTAGGAGATTTTGTGTAAACAAAAAGAAGGGGGAAAAAATGGGATACGGGTCTAAATATCTGAGTCTATAAAAATAAACACCACCACATTTTCTTAATGACAGTGGTGATGGTCATAATGTTGCTTTGTATTTTTATGATAAACTCGCTAGACACGCCAACACTAATATTAGCATATTCCCTCCTTGTGACAATCTTAGTCAATCTGGGGTCAATCCATGTAGTACATACACACTGGGGAGGGGGTGTTGTCTATTTTTTAGATTTTCTGTAAGTGTTCGTGTGGTGGTGATGAGGGGGGGGGGGGTCTCTGGGGAATGTACATAAGATATTCAAACATTTTACAAAATCTTTCTGAAAGTCTAGATATAACATATTTATATGCCAAATACAGTACGGCATAATTATATATACTGTATGTTTGTTTTTTTTACCATTAAGATACTGTAATGTACGATTTTGAGATAAAATTCTAAGATTCTAGTAGTTTAAGGGGAAATAGGTCTGTTTAAATTTTATAATAATATAGATGCAAAATAAATATGTATAAAATGTTTTTATTATTTTCTTTGCAGTATCTATTCTTCCAGAGAAACTAAGCTTTAGTGTTGATAATATTAGAGTATGCAAAATTTCAGTAAGTATTGTTTGAATCGAGCACTAATTTACTTGGAGCTTGTTAGATGGTCTTGTTTTAATCATATTTGGCACATAATTATTGAATACAGTATTTTATATAAGTATGTATCCGTTTGAATTTGTAAAGGAATAAACATTGCGAGTGGATATAGCATCAGCCAATTACTTTACATAACATAGGAAATAGGATGGCAAAGTTGTTTTTTTTTCAAAGGAATTTCTTAACATCTAATTAACTGCTTCCAGCTTATTTTAACAAGATAAACCTTAGGTTATCAAGAAATTCCTTTTACGATGTAAATGTAGATGGTTTTAATACAAAATCTTAGTTTTTATATGATTTTAACCACAACAGAGATGTGGAAGACCATAGGCTTAACAACACAAGTTTCGTATGGTCCATATTTGTTTTTTTTGATTCATCACATGGATTTTTCTGTTTTTTTGTTTGTTTTATTGTTTTTATGATTATTAGAAGTTAAGCTTGTATTTTCAGTCTATGTGAAGTTTTCTAGCATGCGTAGATGATGAAACTATTGAACTGATCTGTGTAAACTGTATATTATATTGATATTAATGCAGTGAGTGATAAATCTGAATTCACAAGCAACATTAACCATGTTGATGAAAGTAAATTTTATCATTTGCTTTATGAAAATTTTCTGCAATAGGGCTTCTTTAATATAATTTAAATGTTTAAAATTTTAATTGAATTTATTTGATTCATTTTCACATTCATTGTTAGTTTTCTTTTAAACTTTGACTTATGATTGTTTTATATTGCATTTCTACTTTTCATAATGTAGCTATATCTCTTAAGCATGTCATATTGATTACATCAAAAGTAGTTTATAGCCCTTTTTTAAAAATGTGTCTTTGTCCAGGTGTAAAAAAAAAAACAAAATACTATTAAGTTAAAAAGTGTACTGCATGAAGCTAGTTGCTTTTGGTCCCTGTTGCCTTTGTCAGCTGGGACTTAATTGTATTAGGTTATATATTTACTTATGTTAAAATTTTTATAAGATTTATTTTTTTAATATTTGTTTTAGGGTTCTGGAATATTACAAAGCTCTGTTGTTCAAGGAATGGTTTTTAAACGTCAAGTGGAAGGGGATGTAACTAAAACAGAGAAATCCAAAATAGCTGTTTTTTCTTGTCCGCTTGATGCTATGCAGACAGAAACGAAGGTATGTGTCAGGTTTTTTTAGTTGGGTGGGGGCGGGGGGGTGTTTAGCCTGCAAAGAAACAATATGATTTACACAGAATGATGAGAGCTTACAGTAAAAGATAAATAAATGCTCAGTGCTGCAAATTTTAAATGAAACTAGTAGGGTGGATAACAAAATTTGCAGATAGAAAAAATGTGACTGGCAAAATTGAAAAACAGTAAAGATTGAGAACTTGGCAAAAAATGAGATGTTTAGGGAATGTATTTATAGGCAAACAGGAAAATAACGGTTTACAAGCAAGATCACATGTGTGAAAGTATACCGTAGATGGAAAAACTGATCACATCACAGTGATTAGTAGGGTAAAGAGAGATAGGCACAACGTTAAGGATGCTAAATGGATGTGCCAATGAGGATTGCGAACTACCACAAGGATGGCAGATCCATTGGTCAGCCAACTAACTCTGATTAAAACAAAAGATGTGATCTTGACCATGAAAAAGTATAAAGCCTTAAGAATAGACCTTATCTCTGCAGAACCGATAAATTAGGTGGAAACTAACTGCATATGGAAATACACAGCCTCATAGAATCTAGCAGGAGGCAGAAATAGAATGGGGTACTGCTCTCATGATTCGAAATCACAAGAAAGGATCTAAGCAGGACTGCTGAAATTATAGAGGAATCTCCCTATTTAAAACTCAATTATTCTTGGTTTTCATGCCATAAAAAAAAATTGAGACCTAAATTAAAATCTTTATTATATCCATGCTGTCCATTTTTACAATACAAGCAATTTTACCAATCTTTCTATTAATTATGCCATTTCAAAAAAAAGTGGTGAATTTTTAAATTATTTTATTCAAAAAGAAAAATAAAGAAAACAAGGCAAGTATTTCATGAGAGAAATATTAGCAAAGGGTAGATGTTGAGATAAATATCACTGGTCGTCCAAGACTATGATGGATCGACGATGTAGAGAAGGATTTACACCATTTGGCGTTTGCGCATGGAGGTGGAAAGCCTTGGAACATTCAGAATGGAAGGATGTGGTGGAGCAGGCCAGGGCACTACATAGGCTGTAGCGCCACTAATGATGATGTGGAACATACATGTAAGCACCAGTAAAACTATCACAAACTACTTGCAGAGCAGCATTTCAGAACCAAAATCAAATTGCTCTTTCTGTAGCCAACCATAGCCATACATGGCATATGCAACAACATACAGTTCTGTTTACTCTTATGATTTTGGCGTACAACGTGCGATTTTTAGATGTCTATTATGATTGTATGCTGAGACCCGCCAACACGACGATTTTCAGAGACCTGTAAAAAAATATGCGGGTAATTTTTTACAATTAAATTTATTTTTTTTCGGCTTGAAGTTTCTAAGTAAAGATCTGGCAGTGAATGGACCGAGAAAAACTATTGGTGGTTTTTTTTTTTTTTTTGGTTTTTTTTTTAAAGTTGGGTGGGACCATCCTTCATTATTTTATATAGCCTACGCAGTGAGAGGGGAGTAGGGGGCTGTTGATTAAGGAGATTTGTGGCATACGAAGAGCCATTGAAAGGGAACTACAAGCAAAAACCTTGGAGCATACAGCTCACCAGTCAACTAAGTCTGAGGTGGATTGACAATGTAGAAAGGGATGGGGGTCCCCAGGTGGGGCCAGAAAGCCATGGATCGATTTGGAATGGAAGAATGTGGTGGAGCAGGCTAGTGTCCTACCTGGGTTGTAGTGCCACTGGTAAGGATTTGTTTAAACCATGCATGCTGGTATTTCATCTTTTTTTTTTTTCTTTCAGGGAACAGTGTTGATTAAAAATGCTGAGGAACTTTTGAGCTTCAGCAAGGGAGAAGAAAATTTAATGGAGGAGGTATAAACATACTATCTTTTTGTTGCTGAATCAATAGAACATTCTATTTAGACAAGATTCATTTTTATTTTAAGTTTTCATTAAAAAATTTGCAGAAAGTTAATTGTTCACTGTGTTTTTTGCATAAAAGATCTATTCTTTATACCACAAAATTGATACGGTGCCATAATGATATGTATTTATTGTAATAAATTGCTATACTTGTTAAACAGCAAATCAAAGAAATAGCAGATACAGGAGTGAAAGTTATCGTGACAGGTGGCAAAGTTGGAGATCTTGCGCTGCACTATGCAAACAAGTACAAACTTATGATTGTCAGACTTCTATCGAAGTGGGATTTACGCCGGCTTTGCCAATCTATTGGAGCAACAGCGCTTCCTAAAATTGTAAGCTCTTATATTTATTAGCATTTTTTAATTTTCCCTTTAAAAATTCTTTTTTGCATAATACATGGTATGAATAGCAATAATAAGCCCCCGAAGTGTGTTGTTGAAAATAGATTATCACTAAATTCATTGCACCATTTTATGCAGTATTCTAACATAACTATATATTCTTGTCAAATCAGAAACATAGAATGCAAGCCGTGCTTATTTTCAACTCCTCCATTTATGGTAAAAGATGAGATTTTAAAATCATTTGGTCTACTATGTTGGGTTTATGTCTTTTGTTTACAAAGTATGTATGTATAATTCAGATACTTAAAGTAATGTAATTGAATTCCTAGACTGCTCCAACCACAGAGGAATGTGGCTACTGTGATCAAGTTTATGTTGATGAAATTGGTGACACACCAGTCATTGTTTTCAAACAGGGTGACTGAAATTTTATAATTATTTAAAAAGCATTACGGTACATGTTAAATTTAATTAGCACAAATGAATATAATTTATTTTTATTACATTCTCATATGTTACTCACTGTTGTTTTAAAATAACTGTCATTTAATTTTATAGTAGTTTGTATAATTTACTGTGTTTGCCAAAAATGCACTCATGACAGATAAGAAAGAGAGCCCCATTGCAACAATTGTGATTAGGGGGTCTACTGATAACATAATGGATGACATCGAAAGAGCCATTGATGATGGTGTCAACACATTTAAAGCCCTAACCAAGGTAAATGATATGAATATTTAACATTCTGTGCTTTTGGTACATAAATCCTTTAAACTATGGTAATGTTGTGCCTTACTGTTTACACACCCCAGTTTCAAATCTTGTTTTACACACTTCATGTCAGGACTGAAAATCATTAATAAATCATAGGAATTTTATAAATACCTTAATATATTAAAAATGCAGACTATTTTTTTTTTACAAGATAAATTTAAATATGAAATATTTAAATTATTTCATTATTTAAAAAGCTTTTGGCTTAATTTGGAAAAAAATGTTATGCTCTACAGGATAGCAGACTAGTTCCAGGAGCTGGAGCAGTTGAAATTGAATTAGCTAGACAGATTTCCACATTTGGAGAGGTAACATCTGTCTTTTTTTTTTTTTAATTAACACATTTGTTAATGTATTTCAGGTTAAAATAATTCCAGCTGGTGTTTTTGTTTCATGGTTGAAAGGCATTTTTAAAATAAATTATTGTGTCAATTAAGACATTCATTTTATGATTCTGATTTACACATTTCTTTAAGCGGTGGTCAATAAACTATTTTCTGGCACAATTCCTATTCCATAGGTTTCAATTTTAATACTATTTTATGTGGTAGTTAGATAAAATTTCTTTCTTAAAAAATTGATATGCTATTGAAATTGAAAGATTGTAAACATTAATATAAATATCTGGTTTAGCATGTTCTCTTTTAAATACAGTTTAACATTTGAAGAGGTGGAGAAAACCTCATGACAGTCAAATATAATAAAACTTTTTTTTTAGAGTCTTCCTGGATTGGAGCAGTATTCTGTGAAAAAGTTTGCTGAGTCATTGGAGATAGTGCCCAAGGCTCTTGCAAAGAATGCTGGTGTTAAGGTAACTCATTTTAATGCCTTTTAAATATGTTACTTCATAACTAAATTTTTTTTGAAGATACTATCATTTTAAGTTCAAACCTTATTGTTCAATGTTTGTTTTTAGAGGTCATTCACATACTCATATCTTTAATTTATAATAATGTCAGTTTTAATATTATTTAGTTAGCTTTTTTTTTTTTTTAACTTGAGGTGGCGTACATTTGTTTTTAAACTCTTAAGTTGATGTTATTTTTCCAAATCTAAGGCCACAGAGGTTTTGAGCAAACTTTACGCAGCACATCATGAGAAGAGGGTAAATACAGGAGTTGATATTGAGGTAATTTTTTTTTTTTTAATTTAACATGTATTGTATACAATTTTAGAAACCTTTTCTTTGCATGGTTAATAATGAATATTTAAAGAATTTTGCTGTCTTGGATAATAAAAAACTAAGATGCTAATACTGATTTGTCACAGGCTGAAGGAGCAGCTGTGTTGGATTCTGCTGAAGCCAAAATCTATGATCTGCTAATCACCAAATTCTGGGGCCTTAGGTTTGCCACAGCAGCTGCTTGTACAGTCCTTAGAGTTGATCAGGTAATGCCATACTCTATTTCTATTATTAAAATAAGTACTTTACTTGGGTTGATCAGGTACTGTCAAGGTTTTTCTTGTAACATAACTGCCATCTTTTTAGTTTTTGATGTCTTGTTTTTTCTTTACAAATTTGTAATTATAAATGTTATTAATAATGTGTGTTAATAGCTGTTAATGAGTATTAAAAAAATTTTGAAGCATAATTTTAATTATACTTCAACAATTTAGGTGCATTCAGATAATAAGAAATAAACAGTTTTCAAATTTAAGAGGTTTGATATTAATCAGCTTACTTAGCATTACAATATGCATTGCTAGTAATTTTTCCATGGATGGTCCAAATGATTATATTTTGTTGCTTAGCATCACATTTTATTAATCCCACAGATAATCATGGCAAAGAAGGCAGGTGGACCTAAAGCCAAACAGAACAAGGACTGGGATGAAGACTAACTAAAAAGAATTAGCTTTTAATGTTCTAAATTGTGATTACTCAAGCCAATTTATTTCTGTTTATTTTTATAGTTAAGTAGATTGTTCATAAATGTATTTTCTCCAGTTCAATGACCTTGTTGGTAAATTGAAATTTACAGTAACCTTTTAAGAATTAAAAGATCTGCACTGATGAGTGACTGAGAAAGTTACTTAAGTTTTGTTAATTCTAATTATGCAGGATCATTATTGTAGAGACATCAAAATTGGGTTTCAGGGGGCTTTAACTATAGAGCTTGCAAACTGTTTGGCTAAGCTGTGTCCTTTGTGTTTCCTTCCATGGTACAGTCTCGCTCGTTTTTCTGAAGTGTGCTGTTTATTTGTGGATGTATATACCTCCAACTCATTAAGGTTAAATGCATCATTTTGGCAAATGCATCATGTTGGCGTGACTCATTTTCATATATTTTTTAAAAACATTTCTCAATAAATTATTTTAAAAAATTACATTTTTTTAGTGTTTGTTTACTTATGTGAGAAAAAATGCTTACTAGTAGTAGTAGTAACTATTATATTCAAAATTGAATAGAGGGGGCAGAGCTATTGTGCTTATATTTTAATTGCATGTGAATACATTGCCAGTACTATTGAGTAGTGATTTGACTTATCTTATAAGTACAATGGCATTGTTTGGGCAAGCAAGAGAAAGACAACTCTCCCCAGCTTCTGGAGTTTTGATGCTTCTTGACCAGTAATGCTGAGTCATTAAAAATTATAAATAGCTAAACTGATTTTTTGTTGTACTATTTACAATGTTATTCACTCAAAATTGCCAATACAGTGATATCCCTCATTTGTTTATCTTGAGCTTAAGAATGAAACGATTCACATTTCTTTTGAAACCGCGAGTCACTGGAGTTTTAACAAGACCGCCTGTCGGTACACACAATGGTAACTGTGTCTCATTTATTGGGCGGGGTGGGGTATACCATGCCGGCTTAGGAGTAAGAGCTGTAGAAAAACCCAAGACTGAGTGGCTCCACAAACCAAACTATGTTGAGACCAACATCCCATGGGATGGCCACAGAATGGTTGACGGCATTTCAGGAAAATACGTTGTGGCTGATGTAGACAAACCCCGTTGTGATGTCAGAGATGACACCGTTGTTGATTATCTGAAAGATACGGGCTTCAGATCTGTTCCTCCTAACGAGGTTGTCTGCACTACGGATCCTCCTTCCGCTCTTCGGATATTTTCGGGAGGCGTCGGTGTAATTTGTCTTTGTCGTCGAACATGATGTGACAATGCGTAATCCATGTACAGAGCACATACTACTGACATTAAGCATGTGGCCATAAAGAGATTTAGTTTTTTGGAGTTTGTGTGGACAATTTCGTTCCATAATAATATCTTCGCAGCAGTTTTTGTTAAATAAAACATTTTAGATCACACGTGCACGGAAGCTGCTGAATCTGGCCGCACTTACCACGCCAACTGTCCAATTGATTTTGATCAAACATTCTTATCGTGTTTACTGAATGTGTTAACTGAATCTGATCGGGTGCCTTCTAACATTTCTGGGTCAGCTTCGACACTGGAAGCACCATTCAAAACGTTATTTCTTGTTTTTGATTCGAGATTAGGTCCAAGTCTTCCAACAGATTGCTTCCAGCCAATGACAACTTTTCTCCAGTAGGTTGAAATGTATAATTTGATTTCACCATCACAACAAATGTGACGATCAGTGATCAGATTAATCAGATACGAGAAAACCCAGAGTTTAACGACACGCATTTAAATTGAAAGTATTTAGAATTTTTTTTTTACATGTCATTCTTTCTTGTTTTTTTTTTTTTTTATTAATTTTTATTTATGCACTCATCTAATTTAAAATGAATTTTGTTATAAAGTTGGAAAGAACCTGAAATATTTCCATTCCCTCCGCGCCTGACTTTAGTTGGTGGCAGGCTGACTATTGAGATGTACTAACACTTCGCTCGGTCAATCTTATATACCGGTAGGCCTAAAGTAAATTCAGTTTTCAGTTCAAATGTCACAATTTAATTAGTGTACATTGCCGTATAAAATATCAGAAAATATTAGTTGTAACAAAATAGATATATGTAACCTAGGCCTATACATTTCGACTACGTCGTGACAAAAGTGTTACTCAAGCAGTTAAAAGTACTTTCTTTAACAGAACAATAGCTCTCAACCTTCCTAATGCCGCAACCCTTTAATACAGTTCTAAATGCTATGGTGACCCTCCAACCATAAAATTATTTTCGTTGCTATTTCATAAATATGTGTTTTCGGATGGTCTTAGGTGACTCCTGTATTAGGGTCGTTCGACCCCCAAATGGGTCGCGACCCACTGGATGAGAACCGCTGTTAAAGAAACTAATTTGTTGCTTGTCGCAGATGTTCAGAGACGTCCGGCTTGTTGGGTAAAGGTGGATATTCTGGTTAAAATTTTAGAAGGCTGGTTTCAAATAGCAGCAGTCAATCGTATACGTTTAATTTTAAAGTTAATAATGAATCGGATCCTCTTGCCTAGACTTATTATATTACAGCCAGAGGCATAGCGAGGTGGGGGCAGGGGGGGCAGATGTCCCCGGGCGCAAGCTAGTTAGGGGCGCCAAAATGTGCTTTGGTATTATATTATTGGTAAAAATTATGGGTTTGAGAGTTGAAAAAAATAAAAGGAGGCGCTTTAAGATGGATCTTGTCCCCGGGCGCCAAACACCCTCGCTACGCCTCTGATTACAGCTGTCTTTCTAATAGGTCTTATAGTCAAAGAGGCCTCATTATTTTCACGATGGAGTATATCTATTATTAGTAAATCAGTTAAAAACTAAATTTTCGAGGAGGAAATCTAGCAGTATCTAATGCAAGCTGTTTCTTCATAACACCTATACCCGTGTCATCAGCTTCACGTTAACGCTGTATGTGTTGAGACCGATAAAAAAAAAAACTAAAGCCGTTTTTCTTTTTGGCTATGTCAGTGGTCGGCAAACTTATTACTCAAAAGAGCCAAAAAATCAGCAGCAGGACGATTAATACAAATTTTGAGAGACACATTTCGTTTCAAGAACCTATCAAGAACCATGTTTTTCGGAGTCAAAAGCGATTTGTTGCCGACTGACCGAGCCGCACTCAGGTCGTTAAAGAGCCGCTATTTGACGACCACTGGGCTTGGTCGTTTGAAATCGTTTAACTGCCATTGCTCCGCAGCTCGCTCTGCCCACGCGAGCCACCAGCGGAGATTTAATATTAATATAATTCATCTGCAAAAGCGAGGACGCATCGAGCAAAGTACCGGTGCAACACTGATGTCCTGGAGCATGCCAACACGTGGAGCCTGTTGTCCAATCTTGTCGAGGGGTACCATCACTGGTACAGGTCAAAAGAGTGGACCCGGGTTTCCTTCTTAAGGTTCTGTTGTAAGAGGTACTGGTCGGCGCTGCAAGGACGTTTGCAAGAATGATACGAGGGTGGCCACCGCTAACACAAAATCAGCTACCAGTGGGGGCCATCCATTTTAGCACGTACGCAAAAATAGTAAAATGTGCACTTAGTGGACACCCCCGCCCTAATGCAAACATACAAGAAGATTTTGACTACCACCCCCCCCCAAAAAAAAAAACAAAAAAACAACAACCCGCAGTTCTGTATTTTTTAGATAATTGTCACGTTAGAGCATTAAAAAAAAAAAATTGTGTCACGTGTTTACGTGACTGTTTGGCCAGCCCAGTGGTTCCCATGATATAATATAAGCCGCGTCGCTCTGAGTGCCACGTTGCCCTCGGGCAGAGCCATGAAAATAGGGCAGAGCCCCCCCCTCAAAAAAAATCGTCTTTTTACTGATTCGGCCCGTGGGCACATCTTTCGACATATTAAGTGACAGCATTTTCGGGCTTCGCCCGAGGTACCGCATTTCCTTGGCATGGTGACAGGGTGGGTATAAGTAAGGTGAAGGCTTAAACATTGCAGATTTTTGTTGATCTCTTCCAGTTGGTCTCTTCCAGTTGGTCTCTTCCAGTTGATCTCTTCCAGTTGGTCTCTTCCAATTGGTCTCTTCCAGTTGGTCTCTTCCAGTTGATCTCTTCCAATTGGTCTCTTCCAGTTGGTCTCTTCCAGTTGATCTCTTCCAGTTGGTCTCTTCCAGTTGGTCTCTTCCAGTTGATCTCTTCCAGTTGGTCTCTTCCAGTTGGTCTCTTCCAGTTGATCTCTTCCAGTTGATCTCTTCCAGTTGATCTCTTCCAGTTGGTCTCTTGTAAAAGTCAATGTTAACCATACTACACTTCATACAGTTAATGTTATTCCTCTTAGACTACTGGTCAAGTCAAAGTTAACCATAACTGACAACTTCTGACCATAAGAAACTGAACGATATTATATTACAAATTCAATTTGAAAAAATTAAACAGCAAAGGAGACTACTTAAACTCATTTTAAATAGATCAGGTGATGCGTTTTTTACATACCGGTACTTAAATAAAATATATTTGTTCAATATAAATTATTATAAAACAACAACTTTGAGGTTTTTATGATGTATGTTTATTGTATGTACAACTAAAACAGCTAAGAAATATTTATGTGAAATGTTTCAATTTACATACATGGAATTTTGTATAAACAACAAGCACACCATTTATTTCTAGGTTTCAACTAGATCAAACAAAGACTTGTAACTTACAAAATTGTATACAGCCACGTTTCTTTGAGAATATGTATAATGGGGCAGATTTTTAATAGCTTACAAAGTTTTTCAATAATAAGACCTATAGATAAATTAAATCATCATAATTGTCATCATAAATATTGGTAAAGTTTTCAATATTCACAAGATAACAAAAATATAATATTCCGTTCTTGATGATTGTGCTGTCAGTAAGATAAATCTTATTTTAAAAAAAAATTTTAAATTTAAAAGTTAGAGGCATAGGGTGGGTCAACCTACACGTCATGAACAAAAAGCGCTTAACAAATAAAAAACCCACTAAAAATACAAATGATTCTTAGGACAGAATCTAGAATATCAAAACAAAATTGATGAGATTATTTCAAGCCAAACACTAAATATTTGTAAAGTAAAAAAGAACAACATACTTTTTTCGGTTCTTACTCACAATAGGGGAATTAAAATGCTTAAATTCAACATAATTTTTTGAGTTTGTGGTGAACAAATTCTTCACACTTCACTGAATCACTTAAAAACCAATCAAACATGCTTATGATGTCCTCTCCTTCACAACAATTTTGTCATCAACTTTCACTTTTAGGCTCAGCATAGTGTCATCGTCTTTCAATAAAATCCCTTTGTAAAACCACTCTTGGAATTCTGGTTTAACCTTGATCTGTTGATTAGTTGATTATTAATTAAAAGAATGAATTACCAATAGGAATTAGCACAATTAGTTTCAGCAGAATGAACCTATAGTTAAATGCAGTAAGGAAATCGCAAGCTATGGTTTAATGCAGGATGATTTAGTTACTAAATTATGAAGGACTGTTTTCATTTTAATTCTAAACAGCTTAAACATGACTTTTTGCATGAGCATTTGAAGAGTCATACACAGGATTTTGAATAATACTTGCAAATACTTAATTAACACTTATAACTATAAGTCACCTACCCTTGGTTCCATATCTTTTTTCAGCAACTTTATGGAAGAAACTAGTGGAAATTCTACTCTGAAAACTGAAGCTGTACCGTAATGAGCATGTTGAAGTATAAGTTCTAGTGAAACAAAACCAGAAATTTCCCTAGGGCCCTCATCATCATCAAAATATGTAGAAGTAGAGGAGCTCATCTTTTCACAATTTGATTCTTAAAATTTAAAAATAAAGGAAGATGTGAATCTTTATAATGATATATATTATAAAGCTCTTATGTTATAAGACATAACATTAAATATTCAAGTAATGAACTTCAAATTTGAAGGTTACAGAAGTTTTTAATAGAAGAACATTTTCAAAAGTGAAATCATGATACAAAGAATGCATGTTACTATATTATTGTTTATATAATTAATTAATAAAAGTGCATGAAAATATAACTATTGTCAATTGTCTGCTTTGAATTTCATAAATTATTAACACAATTAACCAAACACCACATCATGTCCAAATGGTTCAACACTCAACATGTTCAACAGTGACAACACTTGAAAATAGCTTAAATTCAAATATATAATACAATGAATAATGTGACAGATTGTGACATATTTTTGCAGTTATATATATAGGCCCTACCATTACCATAGTCCATAGGCCTACACCTACAGTTTATTTATAAACAATTTATTATATATTATTAGGAGCCCTAGAATACTTACATTTATTTATGATTTATAATTTATAGTAATTATAGTTACTGAGCCTGGGATATACCTAGTAATAACCAGTTTAGTACTGTCATTTACTGTGTATAAGTATAGGCATATGGGCATGGGAGACTAACTATAACTATAATTTAGGGGCATATATAATATTAAATATACTATATACGTAACGTCTATCGTCTAAGACAGATGCATCCGATGGGCTTCTATAGCGGCTATACTAATACTCTGCCTTGTTTTTATATTAGCAGCAGGCCTATTTAGTTAGGCCAATTGCCAATGGCCAATAGCATGAATGAATATGAATATTATTATGATATTTGACTATTTGTCAGTCCAGTCCCAGTCCCAGTACCTATTTGTTGACGAAGTCGATGTTGTCGCAGCGATAGCGGAACCTGTTTTTTTCTAAATGTTTTATTTAGTAACCCAATAAACGTCTATCCTAACTTCAGTTAAGTTAATATTCTTTTGATGATAAAAATCACACAGCCCACAGATTGTTTGTAATATTAAAAAAAAACACAAAAAAACACCGATCTAGTTATTCGGCGATCATTTTATTGAGAGAGGGGAGTTGTGGATGGATGTTTTACTACTCATACGGCTGGCGGCTAATTTTAAATGACATATTTCTTTCGGTTTAAAATGAAGGCATGGTATAAAAAATTTCCATAAAAATAAAAAGCAGTAAAAACTTCAATATTTTTGTAAGTAGTCCAAATTACTTTTTATTATTCTTATTCATATTTAAATTTATATGCATTTTCATCATTCAATACGACAATACAATCACCATTAGGGGATGCGGAACAAAACATAAAAAAAACAACAACAAAACAACAACAACCCAACCCTCCAACTAACTTTACGCCCTCGTAAAAGATGTCTTAAAATTAGTGACTGCCATAGTTTAAATCATATTCATGTGAACGTATGACTTTATGAATAATGCTGAAGAGGTTCTTCACAAACTTCTGCTTGATTAGAGATTACTCTCATCGGCGGAGCTAGATAGGGTTGGTAGCCGACCGTACAGGGTCAAGTTTTTTGTCACACACTTCCACGAATAAAAACTCTGCAGTTGGCCAAAAATGCCGCCACTCAATATGACGAAAAAACGTGCAGCCTGGGGGCCGATCCCCTTTCCGCACGCCCCTTCCTACGCCACTGATTACTCTGACTAATGCAGTGAAGACGTCAGCAAATTAATTAAAAGTACATATATTGTTCCTATCTTTGTGTGTCCAGTCATCGCATTAATATTATTCATTATTCCTTCCGCACATCATGGGAAAATATAGTTAATTTTAAAATAAAAAAAAATAAAAATGACTTCTTAAATGTAGCCTACATCTCACTGATATTTGTCCATCACTTTTTTCTTTATGCTAGTCTATTAATTTTCATGTCTAGAACAAATATATTTGAACAATCGTAATCTACATAGGCCTACCATTCCTTAATAGTATTATATTATTATTTTATCTTAATGCCTATATTATTAAAAAGGATTATTTAAATTAAAAAAAAATGTTGAATGCCTATGTTGCATGGAGGTCTTTTCTGGATCATCAAATTCCAGTGGCACATCATCATCAACGCCACGCACCCCACGTATTTCAAGAGTAATAGTAAGCCTGCTTTTAAGAAATGTATTATTTAATTTTCAAGTGGACTACCTGATAGGCTACCTGATCTAAGGCACGGTGACTTCTTTCTATTTCATTGTATCCACTTCCCTTGCATTTGTGTAAAAAAATAAATAAGGGGGTGGGGGGGCGGGGGAGCCCGATTTTTATAAACTAAAAATGTGTGGGTTGGGTAGGGTGTCTAGCTGCAATAAAACTGATCAAATAATTTGTATATATATAAATACTTAAATAAACATTAAGTTTTGGTAGTATATAATTTATAGGCCTACTAATTCACATGTAAGATTAGTATTATAAGAATAGAATGAACTGAATGGTAGGCTAGTCACTTGATTTAAAACCTAAACATTCAAAATTGACAGTCGTCAACGAGTCTCTATCGACTATCGGTCCCAGTGACATAAATTTTATTATTATCAGATTATAATCACGACAGCCTATAAATTAAATTTATAGATTTCAATTCATATGAATTAAGGTCTAGAGAGATAGTCACAATTTATTATAAACTAACAACATTTTTAAAAAAAAAAGAAAGAATTTTACCATTTTCATTTGGCATGATTCACGTAATCGTAACATATGCGATACTCATAAATTATGCTATTGATAGAACAGCTTTAACATTTCGGGAAAATCCACAAGAGAAAAATGGACACATGATTTACCCGTAATTACATTTCCTCACACAAATATAATTCACAGTTGCTTAAAATCAGTGGCGATGGAAGAGTTGGTTCGCCCCGGAGGGAACCTTTTCCCCCACAACGAGGGGCGATGTTTTCGGCCGCCTGGAAAGTTTTATCGTGGAAGAGGGAGGGGCAGAAAATAAAAAGCTTGAACCACCCTGGGAGGCAATAGTTCAAGTGTTCAACCCCCCCCCCCCCCCCCCCCCCCCCCGGCCTATTTTATTGCCTTAGATTGTCTATAAATAAAATCGTTAAGTTAATTTTTTTATCTTCGACTCCTATCTTCAGGCCCGTTCTTAGGTATACGCTGACTACGCATCCGCGTAGGGCCCCGAACGTGAGGGGGCCCCCGTGAGGCGCCCTCGATCCCTCGGTTTTTTTTTAAACTGGCACTGCAGCCGTCTGTGTCACTCACGTTACCTTCCTCATCCTGAAATTTATCATTCTGAGTTGAATTCGGAGGCAGGGGAAGGGAAGCAGCAGGGGGAGGGAGCTTTGGGTGTGGCAGACAGGAAATCGGCAGAATGGAGGTGCTGCAGTGGTGGGTGCTGTTTTCTCCTCAGCTCGAGGGAGCTCCACCCCCGGACCCCCTCCCCCTTTCCTGGGCCCCCAAACTACGCTCCATGCTTAGGGCACCCAAAATCCTACGAACGGCTCTGCTATCTTAATTCGATACCTTTTTGGACACAAAAGTGAATACCACTGTTCAGTCATCGAAGACGAAGAACAACATGATGGTTAGCAAAAAGAAAATGTGTCATATTAAATGCAGCATACAAATGCCATTAATGGTTCTGTCTGAAGCCATCGGGACTATTAAATGACAATACATTGTTGTTGTTTTAGAAAGCCTTCTCAGTTTAACTATTTAACAAACAGTAAACAGCGTAACTTTTTAGTTTAGAATTCGAAGCAGGTAATTATTGATCAAAATCTTGTTATTTAAAAAAAAAAAGTAATAAATTCGTTCAGCAACTGCCCCACCTACTGTGGATTTTAATGTTATGAATGCAGCGCAACTCTCGTTTCCAACAAACCCAGTGGTTCGTTGACATGCTTGACCATCCTCTACTCATCATAATCTTAGCATATAAAATTTAGTTTATTAAGGAATAAGTAGAATATTAATATATGTCTAGTGTTTAAAAAAAAAAAAACGTTTTCTCACAATTCATTAAGTAAAAACTTCAAAACGGATGCACACTTGGTAAATGATTTTGGGACAAAACGATGGCATCAGAAAAGTTGCATAGTTTTGTTGGTCTGATACAAACCTCACAAAGTAATAATTCAAAGTGTCATTTAAAAAGGTTATGCTTAACATTTTCGCAACTGCCGATACCATGGTCAATGGGAAATAAAGTTTAATATTTAGTGTCAAATGGGCATCTTCAAGGCTATTGACTATCAGTGATCAAAGATAACTTTTTGAAGGTGGTGATTTATTAAGAGGATTTACTCATTTTCACTGCATTCAATATCAATAACTCATTAGTCATTAACTGAAATTAACTGGCATTATATTGGAATTCATCAGATGAGCAAGGCTTAACTTCAGTTAGGCCTTACAATCTTAGAAATGTTGGCTTCGGTTTCTAGTTACAGTTACATATTGTAACAACAATCATAATGATTACCGTTTTCTTTGGTCTTCATTCAAATTCCCATAACACTGCAAAGTTCTATCTACTATCGAAGTTGAAGGCGACAATCTTTGAGCCACTCATTCGGATTTACCCGATGGCTTCAAAGGGGGATTTTTGTTATTTATTGGTGTGTGTGTGTATTTCCTTCATTTATTGAGTAGGTATTCGAGTACTGATAACATTGCGATTCCAAATATTTTGTTAATACCTTCTCACGAGCGAAATTTCAAGCAAGAGTTCTTGATAACCTGTGAGGACGACCCCCCACCCTTTTTTTTTCTCCCCCCAAACAAAGTTACACTGAATTTGAATATGAAAAAATGTTACTGATTAAGTTGACAGCACTGGCATGGGAAGAGTGGAGAGGAGGGTTGTGGTCTGTGTTTCTTTCAGAGAATCTCATCCGAGGGGGCAGTTTAGGTGATAGGGTGGGGGGGGGGGAGTGCATTTATTAACACCAAAAGTAGACACGAGGCATTCAGCGCCAGCTCTGAATCCGGCCCCTACATAAACTGAATTCTCTCATGTTTGGCGCCCTGGGGGATGCCTTTGGTCCCATCTTATTTTCGCCCCTGGATCCCATAAAGGTAAATATCGTCCACCTATATTCACAAGAAATAATATTTTTTGTCAGTTAAGAAAATCAGTTATGTCACCTTGTTTCGCTGGGGGGGGGGGTGGTGGGGTGGAAAATGGAAATGAAAGGGAGGGGGGTTGGGTTGTGAGCCCCCCCCCCCCCCCCCCGGGGAAATTTTTTGAGAACTTGAAAATCAAGGAATGCATTTTGGCAAATACCTGACTTTGTTTTATATCTATGGTGAAACAGAAAAGATGTTTGGAGATGTACTGTGTCTTAACCTGGTTGTTCTTATAGTATTTTATAAATCCTTTTATTAAAAAATTGTTACTTAATAGTAATCTTGTTTTATAATTTTTATCTAAACTATTTATTTCTTTGACCTAATTCATTAATTAATGAGCATTAAATAAATGCAGTCCAAATAAGTGCCGGTACATCGTGGTCTATAAATCCTTTATATCTATTTAAGACGGGTTATTTTGTTTTTTCTGTAGGCCTATATCAATGACAGAATTATATTGAGAAGATAAATTACAAATCAAATAACTAGTAGCGTACAAAGGAGGGTGAGGATGAGGCGATTCGCCCCGGGTGAAACTCTTTACCTTGTCTAGAAGCACGGAGTTTGAAAAGCACTTGACCAGTCCTGGTGGCTCTAACTTAGCCTTAGCTACGCCACTGCAATGAACATAAGGTACCCTTGGTAAAACTCGTTCATCTACGTGAAGGCCTATTTATCTTCAAAATGTCTGGATTTAATAAAATTGCTGGTTTAAAAAAAAAAAAAAACTACGTACAAACAATAAAAAAAGATAATAGATTTGAAAATTGTAAAACTAGTTCTTGAAGACTATTTTTTCAACTTCCAATTTGATACTAATCTTTTGTTTTATTTTTAGATTAATGCTTGCAAATTGGTAGGGCATATTTTTATTATTATTATTCTGATATTAAAAAGGGAAAAGCAGTCAAGATTATTAGTATAGGCCTCTAAGTGCATTTAAAATGTCCTTTTACTTTCTGTTATTCAGTAATATAAGTCACAAAATGAAGAAATTCAAGAAAATAAAAACTATTTCGATATAAAAATAATTGACGAAACCATTTGTAAGCGCAAGATAAGTCTTAATTTATAAAAAATGTATTGATTTTTTAATTCAAAGTATTCATTTTCATCTAGTTCATTTGTCATTCTCATGTAATCAACTACATCAAAAATAATGCTATTATTTTCACAGTTAGATTATATTTATAGCCCACACTATTTTGAAAGGGGGGGGGTGGTACTTGACTTCTTAGAACAACTCCTTCCTTAGCAAGATTTAACACATAAGTTAAACTGAAAACATTAATTGTAAATTTAAGCCTCAAATCATGAACACTATTTCATGACACCAAATTTGAATGTTTCGTTCAAAAAAATATGGTTGCAATAATGTTTAATTTTAAGAGTACATTTTCCTTTTTCAAGACCTAGAAATCACCATATTTCATCCATTCATTCTTTCACAAAACCTAAACATTAACAAAACTTTTATTAGTTTATTGACAAAAGCAAATATATATGAGAAATGTGAAGTTATATCAATTACTAAACTGGCATTCCTAGCATCAACATTTCATTTCTTGGTCTGAAGTAGCATCCTTTGTAATTTAACATTCATTAACAGACTCAGTTCCTTGCACACTTATGATTTGCTCACAGTATCTGTACACATGTCTCAGCATTCTTCTCTATCGCACTTCTGTTTTAATTAATTCCCTTCACACATCAATTCAATCTGCATGAGAGTTCTTCCACACTCTCCTGGTCTGCATAGGACTGATGTGACCCTGTGAACAAAAAAAAAAGAATTAAAATATGTATATTGGTATCAAATATGTACCGTATAAATAAATATATATTAACTAACTAGCGGTGGTGTTGACGTAAAATATTTTCCCAGGGCACTTTACAAACTGTATGACTATGAAATTAGATACGAGTACCTGGTTATAAATACATAGTGTATACAGAGCTACACAACATGGTGTCATTCTTTATTATTATTAAAATCATCAACGTGTGTAAATTACTGTGACTAGTTTAATGAGACTCAAACAATTTGTGTAAAGAAAACAATATAAGTTAAGCTTTGATTAACAAAAACAAATTTAAAAGTTTTGGCAATTACTTTCATCAGTGCAACAAAAAAAAACATTAATACACCCAGTAATTATAAATTAAATTTAAATAATATTATAATTAATATGTCTAAATCCCACCAGCACCTAAAATGAAAGAAAAGAAAAAGAACTGGCATAAGTCCCTAATGAAAACCAAGATCAGAAGAACACTGTTAACACGAACTAAAAGATTCCTCATCTTGTTATCAATCTCCAGGAAGATGAATGTTGAGAAATATATAAATCACACATTGAAATTTAGATTTAATGTTAAATAAAGCACAATTTTAAAACTCAATATTTACAACAGTTTTTGTCAGTGTTTAAGGCAGGCAGGTTAAGTAAAAGGCATTCTATTGGACTGGTGCCCTTGCATGACTACACCACTGTAAACTAGTTGTTAAAAATTATCAAATAGTTCTTCCCTCACACATGATATAACTTTTCTTGCCCATAAATATAACTTTCTAACTCATCACTAAAATTCTCCACTGATACAATGTCAGCATAATAATTACTTAACAGGATAGTTTTTGTTACGTTAGAAATTAAATTTGTTTTCAAACTTCAAAATGGATTCAATTTTATACTGTTGGAATTTTCAAATTTAATATCTTAACACCATACATAATACAACAGCATGACAATAATCCAGATGTTCCAAATTGCTGATTGCCTAATGGTGAGAATCACAACATGATTTAACGTGAATTGAAGACTTTGTCCATAAACAATGACATGTTCAATACTGTACATGATATGATTAGAAATAAAGCACTACAGGCATATTATGCAGTTCAATACTGTACATCATGTGATTAGAAATAAAGCGCTGTAGGCATATTATGCAGTTTTTGACTAGTTGAGGTTTTATCTTAGCTTTAAATCTAGTTTTCTAATTTACTGGTTATTAAAAGCTATCTTGAAATTTTTATATTTAATTACATAACTCAGGTAATTTGGTTCCCAAAGGGATTTGAAGATACTGTTAAGTCTGGGTCAAACCAAAATTTGCCAGGATTACTGAAGTCTTAGCGGTAATGTATTTTGAACTGCACTGCTACCTATAATCCTATTACTATAAAGTGAACTAAAAATTGTCTTTTATTATGAATTATAAGATATTCTTTTCATTTTTTTTGGTTAAAAATTATTTATTGAATTGAAAAACAAATATTATAATAACTATCATTGCCATTTGGCTATTAATTCACTGATCTTCAGTTCAGAGAACAAACATAATTATGTTTGAATGTTCACGTAAGAAAGAAATTGTGATTGAATTTAAGGAGCCAAGCAATAATGCTTTTCTTATTTCTCAATGAGAAAAGCAGTAAGTGTATATTTCTGTAACTGACTGCTTCATTCAAACTTCCAATTTAAAAAAAATAAATTAAAAGGTCATTGCCAAAGCCAGTGTGGACTGACAAACAGAATACATGTTCTAGTTAAAGAATGTTATTTCTAAAAGTAGACAATTTCAAGCCATGAGAAACACTCAAGATATACTCTTTACGGTTAGATTAGTTAGGACACAGATTATTCATCTTTTCTATACAGTTTTATATAAAACAACAGATCAAATATATGACATTAAGAAGCCTCCACCAAAAAACTTTGTGTACAAAACAACATGAAAATCCCAAATATAACATTTCTAAGTTGGTAATCAAAGGAATACAGAGCATATTGTCTTCTGAAAATTGGAATCTTTGACTCTCTCAGCAACCCATAGAAACCAGAATCTCAATTAAATTATTTCTTGTTAACTTGTTAGAATAATACACACACTACATACCAGAAATACTTAAGTGTTCAACCTAAACATAATTTATAAATATCAATTGAGCAGGTGAGCTTTGATTAGGAAAAGTAAACATAGAATTAAAATGAAGTTTTATTTTCATAATTGCATGAAATGCTATGAAATTCAGACAATTCAAACACCCACTTTAAAAATGAGTGCTAATGAAGGGGATGCTATACTACACAGCAGGTAGGATGCTGTGTTAAACAGAATTTTGGAAGCTACATTGCACAGCGGTAGGGATGCAGTGCTACTTGTGCTACACAGCAGCACATATGCTATATTACATGACAGTAGGGATGCTATGCTACACAGCAGTAAAGATGCTACATTACACAGCAGTCAGGATCCTTCAAGGTTAAAACATTAATCATTAGTTTCATTTATTAGTCTTGGAGTACTATTGCTTTCTCATACCAAAGTCATTGATCTTTTAAAGCAGCCCTTGTGTAAGATGTTACAGTAATGGAATCACAGGCTATCTACTATACAGGATTCACCCACTAAATTTATCTCCCATCACCAGTATAGGGAAAAAACACAAGAAAGTTTTGAACTCAAGTTAAGCCTTACGTAATTGCATCCCTCAAGCCCTAAAATGGCCCAAACTCGAAACCCTGGCGATTGCCAGTACTTTCTGCTGTACTGACCTGATTGCTGGACAACTTTCTTTCCACCACCTGTTTTACAGAAAAAAAAAAACCATAATTAGTTTTGTTACAGATTTATTAAAAGATAGACAGAAGTTTCGGCTATTTAAAGGCCTTTAAAAAAATAAATAATTATATCAACAGATGTTCATCAAATGAATATACTGAAAAAACATATTTTACAATAATTACTATTTGGAAACTAATTTAATTTAAATAATAAAATAAAATATAACATTTGGAAATGGTGCTTAATTTAAAAAAAAAATTAATAAAATAATTTAGTTGCATGCTCCTCACTTTATCAAAAAACCTGGACAGCTTGACCGCATTGGTGGAGCCTGGTGCCAACTGTTTAACTTGTAAACAGTCCTGTTATAAAATCATTTTTTTTTTAAATATTAAGAATGTATTCTAAAATATAAAAAAAATGTAGAGTAGCAAGAATGTAGTTTTAGGATTTAGTGACTTCTATGTATGTTACAATTAGAAAGATATTTCACACTAATTTTTGGTATTTAATGCGTTATTATTTTTATTTCTAACACAATTGAAGTCTCCACTGCTAAAAGTACTAGAGTCACACACAAAATTTGAATAATTTGATAGTCTGTTTGAATTTTCAAAGTGGATCGTCTCAAATTGAATATATGTTACTTATTATGTAACTTTAGCACTAGGGTCTTCAATTGTTAACTAATGGAAATCAATATTTAGAGTAGAAAAAATGTTGTTACTACCCAGTAAACACCAAATCTAGTTACAAAAAATGGTTACATTTTAAAAACTTGAACAAGCTGGTGTAGTTTGTGAATATGCAGAAGAAATAAGATCATGGGATGGAATACATACTAAATTGAATTCATCTGCTCCACATTCTTCTGCTATGTGGGATGAACGTAAAGTATTTTTCTCTCTCAATGATTGTGCTGAATCAATTTTAGTGCCAATTACTAAAATTGGAGTCTGGTTCCCAGCAAACTGCTCTGGATCAAAGTCATAACTGAAACAGAGCAAATAAAGTAAAAACAAATCCATGAAGGACTAAACTTCTATTATAAGTTTTAGCAATTAAAAAATTTAACACACATGTCCGACAGGAACAAATTTATTTTATTGAGAAAATTTGATTTAACATTGATGACATGTGGTATTACCCATTGTTTGGTTTCAAATCATCTTTACTTAATGTTTCCGCTAGCCATTTCCGCAAGTTTTGATGAGATTTACGATTGGTTAAATCATGGACTAGAATAATACCTGTAAAATAATCATGTAAATAAATTATTTAAATCATGATTTTATTTACCAAATAATTCTTCACAAAGATTAATACGTTTATTGATAAAATATAACAAAAAATGGTAGCCAACTTACTGTTGTCAGTGCTGTCCAACCTCTCTCACAATTCCTACCTGACTGAATTGCATGAGATAAAAACAAACACATGTATCCTGCTTTCTACTAATTGAAAGTCTCATAATCCGATCTCTGAATACCAGATATCCCCAATGTTACTACAATACAAAATGGACACAGACTCTCCCATACCTGGATAGACCACCTGTTTAAATAACATGGTGCCGTAAGTGGTTCACACTACCCACATTAGTCATTTGTGACACTTTAGTACTCCAGATAACATCTTGATTACTCTGAGCCCAAGACTTTCTTGTCATATTATTATCATCCTACAATGTGCAGTTAACTTGTGGCGCTCACCTATTTCACCTAACTTGAGCCTGTATGGATATTTTTACAATGACTAAATAGCTACACATTAAGTTAATTTTGGTTTCCCTATTCATCTTCCCCAATGCTGTTAGTAATTATACCAGATACCCGTTGACGCTTCGCCTATACAAGCAACAGAAAGAAGGAGAAGAAAGTATCTGATTTCAAGCAACCCCATGTTTCTAAATGGTTGCTATGCTGATGTGTTTCACTGCTACCTGTCAACCCATCCCACTCCTTAGCGTTTAGTGACTTATCCCTTCTCCATGTTACAACTTCCCCTGTGCTCTCACATGATTTCCCAATACTTAAAATATTTTAACCCTAATATGTTTTTTTTTTTTTTTACACACATCATAAACATTTCTTAAGCAGTGGTGGGACTTTCAATGTGGCCAGTGGGCTGGACAGCACTGTTCAATTTCAACAGTAAATAATCTATGATTATTAATTTTTGTCAACCCATCCCACTCCTTAGCGTTTAGTGACTTATCCCTTCTCCATGTTACAACTTCCCCTGTGCTCTCACATGATTTCCCAATACTTAAAATATTTTAACCCTAATATGTTTTTCTTTTTTTTTTTACACACATCATAAACATTTCTTAAGCAGTGGTGGGACTTTCAATGTGGCCAGTGGGCTGGACAGCACTGTTCAATTTCAACAGTAAATAATCTATGATTATTAATTTTCGTGAATTATAATTCAAAAGTTACAAATATAAATAATGAATGATCAAATAAAAAATGAATGCAATGTTGCTTTTAATAATATAGCTTATACCATCCATATTTTAGAGCAGTTATATAGTTATAATATTATTAATACACTTTATATTAAAACAAGGATAGAAAAATTAAACATGATTTCTATAAGACATAAGATTCCTTTTTGGAAAACATATTTAATATCAAACCTTGAACTTGATGATAAAAAATAGATCTACTGTTAGCATGACTGGCAGCACCTCCAATATCCCAGAGTTCAACAAAAAAATCTTTCTCTGAAGGTGTACCAGCTCTGTATTCATGGAGCTAAGGGAAGGAAAATTTTTAAAAAACTTGAGGCTAATCAGATACTTGTTATATTTTGTTCTTAATGTGATTGCGTATGTCAATGTCACTTGTAAATCTTAAAAAATAAAATAAATATCAAATAACATGACTACTGCATTTTTTTGTTGCTCATACTAAAACTGAAACAGTATGAGTATGGTATTTCTAAAGAAAATAATAATAATTATGTTTATATCGGAAGACAAGACTTTTTTTTAGAAAATATTCTATTAGTAAGTGTTAGCCTACTTTCACTTCCACTGAGCATCCTATGGTGGCTGTTGGGGTATAGCAAGGTTCATTATGGCAAATGAGATGAACCAATGATGTTTTACCCACTCCTATTCATTGAAGATAAAAAGCTTGTTTGTTTACAAAAAATAAATAAAAAACAGCTTGGAAATGATTTGTAAAGGAGGCATTAGTCAAATTGAAATGTGAAACAAAATAAAACATACTGTTGCATAGAGATTCTTCAGATGTCAAAGACATAATTCAGAAAGACTTGTTTGTATCTAATCATAATAAATTATTTGACTCTTTAGAGCCTGTGTCCTCCAACATTTTAAGCAGGTTTACTACAGTTTGAAAATAAAAAATATGAACATATTCCCATGCACACTGCATATATCTTATTTGTTATCCAGGCCCGGGGGGGGGGGGGGTTAAGGCTGCAGAGTGCCATGTGTTTTCTTCTTGTGACATGTGTTACCACTCGCTGGGTATTTACTATTGAAGCAGCATTATGGGCATTTTCATGAGCCAACTTTACTTTCAGAGTACCCATACAGTGGCCAGGGGGATATGGTTCAGGACACCAGGAAGGCCAGATCTAGCCTGCATCCGTTGTTTAAGGACCACTGCTTTAGACTTTGCTTATTATTCATCCAGAGTTATCCCCAGATATGGGAAAATAACTTGATGGGATTAGAATGTTAAGACTTGGGGGTTGCAGGAAATTTTTTGGAAAGAAATTTGGTTGATGGAAAATTGAAAATCTGACATAAGGTCAAATGGAAATTTGGTTGAAAAGACACGTATATTCCAAGTAAATAATCTAAATATCGATTATTGAAGAATAAGACAGCCAAAGACTCGATGTTGTTCTTAAAATCTTTTCTTTTAACTCAGTTCTCAAGCTAACAATTGAATTTGATGGATTTATTGGCACTCATTATATTTCAAGTCTCCTAAAACCATGCCATAAAGGCTTATTTAATAATTGAAAATAACTCATCTAAAGCAAACATGTGACATTTTACACAACAGTATTGTCTCGTCAGTACTATTGTTAAGTATGGAAATTCTGTCAAACGGAAGTTTGGTCGAAAAAAAAGTAAGTTTGAATAATATTTCCATTCTATCTCGCACCTCTATGACTTAACAACAGCAACAACAAAGAATTTTTAAAAATTCAAAAAAATTTCAGTTCAACCAAACTTCCATTGATCAATTATCCATTGACTAAATTTTTATCAAAAAAATATCATGACACAAGGCTTGGGCTTGTAGACAGGTAAATGCTAAGTAAAAAATCTCAACAAATGATGATTGAAGAACAAAACACCCACAAACTCTGTGTTGTTCCACTGTCAACAATCTTTTTCTTTTAACTCTGACTCTATACCTATATAAAATAAGACTTAAGCAAACAATCACATTTTACAAGAGGGATTTTTTTAGCTCTTATTTAATTCCCCTGAACCATTCCATAATGATAAAGCAAATGAAAAGCTTTTACTTTTAATAAGAAAGTGTATATTGGTAGTTTACTACCTATAGTTAGCTTCTAGTTAGTGCAGGGAGCTATTTGTAGTAACCTACCTATAGCTTCTTGAGAGCTATTGGTAGTACAGCCAATCAAATCAAACAAAAATCTGAGCTTTAAATACCCGCTTCCAATGAGGCTGGCGAAGTATTGCGCCGTTCATTTATTACTAGTTTGTACTAGTGACAACACTTTGGCACTAATTATAAAATCTACAGTGCTGTTTTAAAGTTTTAACACTATCTGCTGAAGCCTTCCCCATGATCAGATTTGGCTATATTGCTATATAATTTATAATATAGACCTAATATAGATCTTAGATAGATGTATGATACTGGGGGGAAGGGGATCATAGTCTGAAACTTTTTACCCAGCTTCTTCTTTGCCAAGGCCAAAGTAAGATGTGCAGTAAAAATAAAATCCAGCTGTAAACATTTTGTGTGTGCTAATTATTATGATTAAAATTATAAATTAAAATACTTGCCGAAATAATTACCATAAGAAATTTTACTGAATGCAAAGTGTGCATATTAAAATCAAAATCTTTTTACTTTAGTTAAATGAAAATGTATAATAACGTGATTAGGCTTAAGGATGATAAAATAAGCTTAGGCCAATCATTTTTCAGGAACATGGTCACTTGAACCAACACCGCCCCACCAGCTAAGTGCTATTTCTTATTTCTTATTTTCATACCATTTTTTCTGTTGTTTTGTTCACTGACGAAGGCTTTCTGCCGACACGTTCGTTGTTTTGTTGCGTTTATTTTATCAGGTTTAACCCTACTCTGTTTTAATCATTTTTTTTATATTGTGCTAACCTGATTGCAGTCTCTCCCCTTATTACCCTTTTTAATTTACTTCTTGACTGCTACTTGTCATTTGTTTTCTTGCTTTATCCCTTTTTTAGGCTCTTGGCACGTCCTTTCATATCTCTCTCTCTCATCAACTTTCTCTTATTCTTACATTACCCTTCTGACTTTTTTCCCCGTTGTGGACATCCCCTTTCCCCTGGTCTGTCACTACTCCACTATGCCTTCCTTCAAAACCACTATGAATCAACTTCGTTCCTTTATCTTAACTGTCTTTAGCTTACTTCCACCGAACCTAACCACCGACTTTGAGGAACTTGCATTCACTCTCTTAAAGAAAACTTTTTAAGAGGCACATTTCTTTTGCTGTTCACGGACACTACTTCCCAGCTAAGTGCTATTTCTTATTTTAATACCATTTTTGTTGTTGTTTTGTTTGCTGACAAAGGCTTTCTGCCGACATGTTCGTTGTTTTGTTGCGTGTATTTTATCAGGTTTAACCCTACTCTGTTTTACTCATTTTATATTGTGCTAGCCTGATTGCAGTCTCTCCCCTTATTACCCATACATACTTTAGATTGATTTCATTGTTGTAATCAAAAATAAATTGTGACTACCAATAATTATTGATATATTATGACTATTTCAATCTATCACCAATTGGTAGTTCTTTTTTATAGTAAACTACCAATAGCCGCTTAGACAGCTCTCTAGACTCTAGAAGCTATTACTATTGGCAGTTTACTATAATACCAATACAATAGCCAGCCACAGCCTTTAATTAATATTTGGATTGATATTCACAGTATTGTTTAAATGAACTGAACTGTAACTGTAATACTGTAATGTCTGGAAGTCTCCTTGTAAATACTATCATAAATAATTTAATTACGTCACTGTCACGTTGAGTTACATCTTATCTCTCATGCTAGCAATGCAGTCAAGTTAACTAGTCAATCAATTCCATCATGCCACCGTGGCATGTTGAATTGCTTTTTCGTTTTCATTTTTTTAATTTTGTCAATATTGCATAGAATACTATATCAAATTCAAATGATGATTCATTGTTATTCATTTTCATTGATTGTCAGCTGGCTTTCAAAAATTGATTGTTGATATTAAATGAATTGTCATTCCTGTATCGTATATTAAAGGAAACTTAAAATTAATACTATTTCAATAAAATTTTCATATTACAACACAATATTCAGTATAAACGTTACTATATATTTTCCTACCGGAATCGCCTACCACAAGTACTTTCACTTTTTCTAGGTCGGCCATTTCTTTTCTATCACAATATCATTTACATCGGATATCCCCGATGCCAACATTCATTAATTTCATTTATATGAACTTGTCTTCCAAAAGAGCTTGGGGTTAAAAATACCAAAAAAAAACAACAACAACAACAACAACGGTTCTATCCCATTAAAAATGTAGTCTACATTATTAAGGATGTAAAAACTACTGTGGAATTATAAAAATAATACCTACATTATGACTTGGGGATTTAGATCTTAATAAAGCCCATCTGTATGATTCTGTGTGCTTTTATTTCTAAATGTGTCTGTGTTTGTGTGTGGAAAGAAAATTCGGAGGGGGAGAATTTCGATATATCAGATAATCAATTGACTTGAGAGAATGCATGCTCATGAATATCCCAATACGGTTACAAATTTGGGTTACAAATCAGCCCAGATATTTACCCCCCCCCCCCCCCCCACAACAAAATAGAATTCCTGATAACTGCGCTAAAGGAGAT